ACCCAAGGGGATTCATCTCTGCCTGACCTTTTCAATAGTTCCTGATCCCCTTCCCATATAGACCTTTGTCACTTTAAGGTTTTTGTATGAGCTCCTCTGGAGTGGGGACTTCAGACACTTTCATGTTGTGGGTTTGGGTATCCCCCTACCTCCCGTATGTGCTCTCCCCTTCGTGTGTGACCTAAGTCCAAAATCATTACAGTATTTGCCCTAGATCTAAAGTCCGCATATGAGAGAGATTCTTGGTCTTCTGAGCCTGGCTAATCTTGCTGAGAATGGTGTTCTTCAGTTCCATCCATTTACTTGTGGATGATAAGATTTCATTCTTCTTCATGGCTGAGTAAAATTCCATTGTGTATAAATACACATTTTCTTAATCCATTTGTCTGTAGTGGGGCATCTAGGCTGTTTCTGTAACTTGGTTATTGTGAATAGCACTGCAATAAACATGAGTGTGCAGGTGCCTCTGGAGTGACCTGAGTTGCATTTGTTTGGGTATATCCTGGGGAGTGGGATTACTGGATCATACGGCAGATCTATGTTTAGATTTTTAAGAAGCCTCCATATTTTTTTCCAAGGTGGCTTCACTACCTTGCATTCCCACCAGCAGTGTACGAGGGTTCCTTTTCCCCCACATTCTCGCCAACACCTGTTGCTTGTGGTGTTCTTGATGATAGCCATTCTAACAGGGGTGAGGTAGAATCTTACAGTGCTTTTGATTTGCATTTCCTTTATGACCAGGGAAGATGAACATTTTTTTCATGTGAGTGTTGGCCATTTGTATTTCTTCTTTAGAAAATGCTCTGTTTAGTATAGCTGCCCACTACTTTATTGGTTCATTAATTTTGGGGGAGTTCAGTTTTTTGAGCTGTCTGTATATTCATATTATCAGTCCTTTGTATGATGTATAGTTAGCAAATATTTCTTCCACACTGTGGGTGGTTTCTTCAATTTAGATCCCCTTTATTTTGTTGTGCAGAAGCTTTGTTATTTCATGTAGTTCCGTTTGTCCATCTTTTCTCTTAGTTGCTGGGCTGCTGTAGTTCTAATGAGGATATCTTTGCCTGTACCTATCATTTCCAGGGTATTCCCTGCTCTTTTGTGTACCAACGGCAAGGTTTCCAATCTGACATTGAGTTCCTTAATCCATTTTGAGTTGATACTAGTACAGGGTGGCAGGCATCAATCTTTAGTTTCAGTTTTCAGCTGGCAGATTGCCACTTTTCCCAGTAATATTGTTGAAGGGGCTGTCTTTTCTCCATCCTATCTTTTTTGGCCCCTTTGTCCAAAATAAGGTTGGCATAGCTGTGTGGATTCATATACGGGTCCTCGGGTCTGTTCCACTTGTCTTCATATCTGTTTTTGTGTCAGTACAATGCTTTGCTATTGCTCTGTAGTATAGTTTGAAGTTGGATATTGTGATATCTCCAGTTTTTCTCTTTTTGCTCAGTTTTTCCTTGGCTATTCATTGTCTTTTTTGTCTACAAATGAACTTCAGGGAAGATTTTTCAATCTCTGTGATGAATGTCATTGGAATTTTGATGGGAATTGTGTTGAACATGTATTTTACTTTTGGTAGTACAGCCATTTTTACTATGTTGAGTCTGCCAATCCTTGAACATGGGAGATCTTTCTGTCTTCTGTAGTCTTTCTCAATCTCTTTCTTTAGCGGTTTGTGGTACTTCTTGTGGAGGTCATTTACATATTTACATTCAGATTGGCCTGTAGTTCTTGTTTTTAGATTTTTGTCCTTATCCAGTTTTGAGATGAGTGTAATACTGGGTTCATAGAATGAGTTGAGTAGTGTTTCTATTTGGTTTTGTGGAAAAGTTTAAGGAGTGTTGGTATTAGTTCTTTTTCGGAGCTCTGGTAGATTCAGCTGAGAATCTGTCAGGTCCTGGATTTTTGTTTTTTGGGAGGCTATTGTTGCTTCAATTTCATTAGTTGTTACAGATCTGTTTACATTGTTAATATCTTCTTGGTTCAGTTTTGTGTGGTCAAGAGCATCTAGAAATTTGCCCATTTCTGCAAGATTTTCCAATTTATTGCAATATAGTTTCTCATAATAGTGTCTGTTGATTCCTGGATTTCCTTGGTGTTTGTTGTTATCTCCCCTTTTCCATTTCTGATTTTTCTAATTTGGGTCTTTTCCCTCCTCATTTTAGTCAGTTTGCCAGGGGCTTGTCAAACTTGTTTATTTTTTTCAAAGAATCAGTTCTTCATTTCTTTAATAATATCTGCCCTTGGTTTTATTATTTCTCCTCTGCTTGTTTTGCATTTTGATTATTAGTGGTTTTCTAGGAGTTTGAGATGTAGCATTAGGTTGTTTATTTGATATCTTTCTGTCCTTTTAATACGTGCACTCATGGTATAAACTTTGCTCTTAGGACTGCCTTTACTGTGTCCCATAGCTTCTGGTAGGTTGTGTTTTCATTTTCATTACTTTCCAGGAACTTTTTGATTGCCTGTGTTACTTCTACTCTGACTTACAAAGATTGAGCAGTGTGTTATGCAACCTCCACTTATTTTCATGTTTTCTGCTGTTGTTTTTGTTGTTGAGTGATAGTTCAAATTACATTGTAATTCAATTGGACTTAATGAACATCTACTGAATTCTGTAGTCATGGAATGTACAGTCTTCTGAGTATCCCATGGAATTTTCAAAAACTGACTTTAGCCTTTTTTTTTAAAGTAAATTTCAACAAATGCCAAGAAGAAAAAGAGGAAGAATTATTTTCGTGCCTCTTGGCAAATCATAACAGAATGAAAGTAGGAAAATACCAGAATTTACAGAACAGTTGGAGATTGACTAATATATTTTCTGAACCATGGGCCAGAGAAGAAATTCAGGGTGGTAGGAAGTAGAAATTCCCAGAATCAAATGGAAATGAAAACACAATCTATGAGGCACAGTAAAAGGAGTAGTAAAAGTTTGTAACTGTGATCATTTACATTAATATTAACAATAGAAGAAATAAAGAGCCAGGCCCCAGTAGCTCATGCCTGTAATTCTAGTTAGTTAGGATGCAGAGAGCAGGAGGATGATCATAGATTGAAGCCAGCCAGAGGCAAATAGTTCATGATATACTGATACCCTATCTTCATTGAACAATAACTCAGGCTGACAGAGTAATTCATGTCATAAGAATGCCTGCCTAGAGAGCATGAGGCCCTGAGTTCAAACCCCAGTGCTGTTAAAAAATAAAAAATAACTGGAAGAATTCATGACCCCTATACCATCACTGTGGAAGATAATTATAAAGGAATCCTACACCCAGACGAGGAAGATAAATGAAACCAGGAAAACATAGGATAAACTAAATCACATTAGGTGAACAGATTACTTAAAAGAAGTAAGCATGATAAAAGCAACAAAATAATATGAAACAATACAGCTTTCAAAATAATTAATTCTAATGGTGTCAAATATTAAAAAGACAAAGAGTGGCTCATTTAATGAAAACCAATACTAGGTCATTTGTAGTTTTCAGGAAACATACCTCACATACAATGAAGAATACTGGCTTATGGTGAAAGAATCGAAATAAGGTCTTCTAAACAAATGGACCATGACAGCAGGTAGAAGTAGCTATACTCATATTTAGAAGGCAGACTTTAAATGAAATTTAGTTAGAAATGACAAATATCAATTCATATTATCAATGGAAACAGTCTACCAAGAGAATACAATAGTGTTAAATGTACGAAAGATTAGCACACCCAATTTTATTAAAGAAACACTACTGGACATAAAATCATCGGTAATACTTAACACAATAATAGTGGTAGACTGCCATAGTCCACAGTTACAAAATAGTCCACTCTTACAAAGATAGTTCATGCAAGTATAATAATAGAAAAGAATTACAGAATCAATCAACGCTATAGACCAAATGACCTAATAAAATATGTGCTGAATATTTCACGCACCAGCGACACAATATACATTGTTCTCAGTAGCCCATGGAACTTTGTCCAAAATACAGTGTTTTAGTACATGAAGCACATGTTATCAAATGTAAGAAATTTGAAATAACCCCTGTATCCTATCAGATAATCATGGCAATAAAAGTGGAACTCAGCAGCAAAAGGGACAACAGAAAATAACCAAAAACTTGGAGCTCTAACCCTGCATTGCCAGTAAGTCATTGAAGAAGTCGGGGAGGAAATGAAAAGTTCCTAGAATCTAATGAAAATGATTTATTAGAGTATGGATAAAGCAAAGGCAATGCTAAGGATAAAGCTTAACTCCATAAGGATCTACATAAAAAGAAAGATCGCAAACAAATAACATAATGACGTATCCCAAGTTCTGAGGAAACCAGGTCCTGACTTCAAAATCCCAGTAGAAAAAATATCAGGGTTGGGAAGGCACCCACTTGTGCTTCATACTACGAGTTTGAGGCCAATCTGGGCTACGAAATGCTGATATTCTAGAAGCTAAAAATAATAAAATGACTATATAATTAAGTCACTATATTTAGTTTAAAGTAGTGTAGAGAACACTTCTTTGTAAATGAATAAAGTAAAAAGAAATTCACATATAATAATTTTGAACTCTAAAGTTAAATGTATGTTGGCACACCATTGGCTCATGGATGCCAATGAGGACTAGTTACTAGTCCTCATGATAGGTAGGATTACAATTTGAGGCCAGCCAGAGTAAATATCTTTGTGAGACCGCATCTACAAAATAATCAGAGCAAAATGGACTGGAGATGTAGCTTAAATAGTGTCTGCTTCATAAGCAGAAAACCCTGAGTTCAAACCCTGTACCATCAATAAATAAGTAAATAAATCAATTTAAAGGTATCTTACTTTGGAAAAATGAGAGGGAAGTCAATCACAAGAATGTAAAAGTGTATATATACTCACATACAATCTGAAGTCTGTCTTTTTTTTTTTTTTTTTGCAATACTGGTGTTTGAACTAGGCCTACACCTTGAGCCACTCCACCAGCCCTTTTTTGTGAAGGGTTTTTTCAGGATAGGGTCTCAAAAAGTATTTGCTCTGGTTGGCTTCGAACCACTGTGCTCCTGATCTCTGCCTCCATAGTAGCTAGGATTACAGGTGTGAGCCGGCAGTGCTGGGCTTAGTCTTGGTGTCCTACAACTGAGAGTATGGCAGTGAAGGGTGTTACATAGTATTTGTGGAATGAAAAGTTAATTTTGAAAAATCTTCAGGAATTGTTAGAAGCACAATTTTAGATGCCAGTAGTTTAGCTAAATATTCGATGGCACATTGAATCTAGGGTTTGTGGTAAATAGTTTGTCCCAAACCTAAATCCTTTACAGCAATTGAGACATTTATAAGTACAGGATATTAAGGAATGTTAACGAAGTCAATTCTCATCTTCAGTTATTTGTTCTAACTTCCCAGATTTTTCTCCTTTAAGCATATATTTATAATTAGAAAACTTGAGTAGCAATAAATATCAATCAACAATTTTAAAGAACAGTCTCACACAGGAGACTTCAGCCTAGCTGAAGTACTAGCTGAATTTTAGATCTAATAACATTGAGCAGAGACTGAACTGCCTTGATGAAGTTGTTAAATGAGTACCAAAGCACAGTGAGTGAAGCAGTCTAGTTAGGAATTGTAGCTCTACTGCCTCCTAGCTGAGGGACATTAGCAAGGTTAATGTTTCTTGGATCTAAGTTGTCCATAAAAGGGGAATCTATGTGACTGGTTTATTAGGACTATTAAAATGAATGCTTGAAAATTACATAGACACACTTGTCAGTTACTATCTATTACAACATTCATTTTTAATACAAAAATGAATGTATAGTACTGGATCTGTATGTTTGGAGAAAAACAGTTACTCTTAGGCATGGTTTCATCTCTAAAAAGAGCAAGATTATGTCCATTTACTGGTAATTTTTCCAATAAAGTTTTCTTTTTTGTGATGAGTTTTTTCAAAATAGGGTCTGTGGAACTATCGCCCAGGGTTGGCTTAGAACTGTGATCCTCCTCATCTTTGCCTTCTAAGTAGCTAGGATACAGGCTTGAAGCTACCGGATTGCGGCCAGGAAATCCTTTGTCAGCAGTGTAGTGTCATAAAGGGTAAGGTCCCTCACTTTAAAAATCGCTAAGAACTTTTTCTAGCGCGTAGTCCACCCATTGACGAAATCGCGCGAGAACGCACTCCCTGATGCCGGTTTAGGACCTAGGTCAACATGCAACTTGGTAAGAGCCCCATCACAGCAGGGAGAGGATCTTAACCAATCTTATTGAATTAACAGAAATGAGTAAAATTTTAAAAAAATATACTTTTTTGTGGTATACGTTTAAACTTAGGTCATCACGCTTGTTATGCAGGTGCTCTACCATGTGAACTCCTCCACCAGCCCTAAAAATGAAAATTTTAAATGGACATCACTTTCGCCTGATTTGCCAGGTCAGGTAAGATTCCCAGGTTCCGGGAATCTCTTTTACCAACCCCACAGCTATTCCTACAGGAAATAGCTTCTCCCCTAGCTAGGGCGCATGTGCAAGTGCATCTCCTGCCCACCAGAGACCTGTAAGGGGCTGTTCTTAGTGTTGCCTGTACAAATATCTAAAATATTTATGTCGAATTAATCTTGAAACTTTGTATCATGTTTCCTAGTAAGACTTCTTGCAAGCAGTGTACAAAGGCATGTAGAGAGACTTCAGGGAGTGAGGCGGCAACTTCAGCTTTCATTCGTTTTTGCCGGCCTGAGTCATAGTTGACCTTCCCGTCACCTTTTCCTTCCCCCGCCTATGGGGGCCTGCGCTCAGTCAGGCGGCGGCCGGAGCAATTTCCTTTCCGGCAAGATGGCGGCGGGCGAGAGTGGAGTGACTTTGGGGCAGCCTCACCTTTCTCGGCAGGATCTCCCTTCCTTGGTGAGGTTTCTTTTTAGGAGGGTGTAACGTGAGGGTGCTCCCTGCTAAGAGGGTGGGAAGTCATTGGTAAGAGACATTGCTGGGCTGCCGGAACATAACGAGTGAGAAGGAGCCTTGTAGTCAGGCATCCTAAGCCGGTGGACTCCACTTGGCCAATTTGGGAGCAGATACTGGGTCATAGAGCTTCTTAAAGATCCTCTGCGTGTTAAAGGCAGTTAAGCCTTTAGTCCTTGAATGCCTAGGAAGGGAACGTATTCAGCCTTGCCCCCCCTTCACTGCTCCCCCCCCCCAACCCGGCCTTTTTTTTTTATCTTTTCCTTTCTTTTTGCGGTACTGTGCTTTGAATTCGGCCTACACCTTGATCTACTCCACCAGCCCTTTTTTTATGATGGGTTTTTTGAGATAGGGTCGCACGAGTTACTTGCCCACTCTGGTGTCCTCGATACCCCTTGATCTCTGCCTCCTGAGTAGTTGGGATTACATGCATGAGCCTACAGCGCGGGACAGTCTTGCACTTCCTATAAAAGTTTGAAAACTGACTACAGTAGTTTGGAGCTAATGCTTCTAAAGTTTAGGATTTCAGACTTACGTTTCCTATAGAGTGAAAGTTGTAAAATTTTTTTTGGTAATAGGAGGGTTCTTATCTGTACTAAATTCTGCTTGGAATATAAACACTGTTTTAACTGGATAGACTCCGTGTCAGCAGAGCGAAATAGATGGTGGTGAACTATGCATAGCAAACCTGAAGTCAAAGGGAACTCCTGATTTGTCCCCTGGGAAATTGTTTAAAATGAAGTATTTCATTGCAGGATGTTACCAAGTTGACCCCACTTTCACACTAAGTTATCAGCAGACAAGCCACAATCAATATAGGTAAGAGTAACTGATTGTGTAAAGAGTACTAGAATTATGGCATTTTGATTTCACCGCTCTTTGGGGAATTTTAATCTCTTCTTTGAATTACAGGAAGATCCAGATATTTAAGAAATAAAAATGAAAAGCACTCCTAGATAGATTTGGGAAATGGAAAGAATGTACTCCATTTCTGTTTCCGGAGTATGTACAATGGGGGTTGAGGGTGTAGCTCAGTGGTGAAGTGACAGAGTGACTGCCTAGCATGGTAGAGGTCCTAGTGCAGTCCTCCACTGCCACCATTACTCTTTACCCCTCCACCCCTTGCGAAAAGATGTGTGTAGATGTGTAAAAAGGCAATGTTATATTTGCATAGGAACGAGTTTAAGGAACAGGTCAAAATGCTTGGTGAGCAGAATATAAGACTAATGTTTGGGGGAATCTTACTTGATGAAGAGGCTTTTCCCTTTTTTTTTTCCTTTGATGGTGCTAGGGTTTGAATCCAGGTCCTTATGCTTTCTAGACATCTACTTTTACACTTGAGACACTCACCTTGTCCCAGATTTTTTATATATATATTTTTTAAATGTTGTTTTGAGACAGGGTCATATGTAGCAGGCTGACTTGGAACTCACGTTCCTTCCGCCTCTGCCACCTGGCTGATAACATAGGTTCTTGTTAAGTATAAATATGTGTAATGCATATATACTATACAAACATAAGTGCTTATATACATACAAATATGTATAAATGTATACATATATAGGCAGTACTAGGAGTTGGACTCAGGACTTTGCAACTTGTGAAGCAAGCACTTTACCACCTGATCTAGCCCTTTTGGCTTGGTTATTTTGATACAGGTTTTTGACTTTATTTTTGGCCAACCTGAACTGAGATCCTCCTATTTATGCCTTCCTCATGGCTGGAATGACAGGTATGTGCTACCATGCCTAGAAACTTCTATCTTTCCAATCTTTAATTCCAGGGTTGTAGGAGTAAAGGTATGAGCCATCAGGCCTACCAGAATAGTTATTTTTCTTAATTTCAGTTCTCATTGCTTCATGAGAGAAGTTACCTTGACTGAGTGAAAATGTTGCATTAGTATTTTTACAAGCAGTAGAACCTATTAAGACACAAAGTTAATAAAAAGTCACAGGAATATATATCTCTCTTAAAAATCATTATTATTAGTTGGAGATTGTTTTCTGGGTTTCTTGAATTTGAGGGTTTTTTGTGTGTGTAACAGGTATTGCTATACATGACATCCAACTTTGAAACTACTGTAAAGTTGCTTAGCCTACAAAATTTTGTGAAGCTTTCACTGAGTGCTTAGTTTAATTGAAACTGATATTTATTTAGATTAACAAGTTGAATAGCTTATATTAGATTTTTGAATAAGGCGTTCAGTGGTATGAAAAGTTGTCTTCTGGCCTGCGTCATACAAGATTTTAAAGAAAAGATATGCTCAGTGGGAGGAAAAGCAAAAAATCAGTATTGGTTGATATATGTATTTACAGTGAGCTGTAACTTTTGTAATTCTGAAGTATTTGTTGTAATTGGAGCATATTATTTTGTTTTTTATAGGTACAATTGGTCATGTTGCTCATGGGAAATCCACAGTTGTAAAAGCTATTTCTGGTGTTCACACTGTTAGATTCAAAAATGAGCTAGAAAGAAATATTACCATTAAGCTTGGATATGCTAACGCCAAGGTAAACAGTGAATTGTGGAACTACAAACAATTTTTTACTTTTAATTCTTGAAAATGCACATAATTTCAGTGTTTCCTTTAAAACTTTCAGATTTATAAACTTGATGACTCAAATTGTCCTCGGCCAGAATGTTATAAGTCTTGTGGAAGTAGTACACCTGATGAGTTTCCTACGGATATCCCAGGGACCAAAGGGAACTTCAGACTAGTCAGGTGATTACTTTTGTGCAAATACACTTTTTTCTTGTTCTAAGTTGTTACATATTTAATGGAGTTGTTAAATGATTATTAATGTAGATTCATCTGACAAAATATGGTTAAGAGACCTTGAACAATATCATTTGTCCAAGCAATGTAACAGTTTATAGTAGATGTTTCATAGCTTTTTAAAAGAAAATGTTGTTATTGCCTATAATAAATGTAATTTGAAAAGCAAACTTAAAAAATCTAGCTTAAGTACATATATTGAAGTTTTTAAAGAATTAATATATAAGATGATTGAAATTGCTAGATCTGATGGTTTCTTTTTCCACACTTCTGTTGTTTGTTTCTTTTGTAGAAGAAGAAAAACACATCCTTAATTAGTTCTTTTTAATGTTTGGGTTTGTTTTCCTATTTTTGGGTTGTGATTGCCTATTCTGTCCTGATTTTTCATAACAGTAACACTAATGTCTACAAGTGATAATGTAGGTGTTAGTATCATCACTAATGCTAGGCACATGCTCTACCAACTGAAGAGTGTTATGTTTTCATTTAATATAATGTCCTTGCACTCTACCCTAGTTACTGTTGTATAGTTTATTGTTATTAAATAGTTCTCTGTCATGTGCTTGTATAAGGAATACTGTAGATTATTTAGACTGATTACAGTTTTGTGCTATTTAAAAATTGCTAAGACTAGTTGGGTACATGTTTCTGCATAGACATACCAAATTTCTGAGGGATATGCAATTAGATGTATAATTGCTGGTTGTATAATTAGTATATGCTTAGGTTTTTTGTTCTTGTTTTTTAAATAAAACATGCCAAACTACTTTTGTAGAGTTGCTATGTCTGTCAAAAATGTATGAATGAGAGATTCAGTTTTTCATTGTTACAAACATTTCAGATTGAAACTATCATAATTTTAGCTCTTCTTTTATGTGTTGCAGTAATCTCACTGTCAATCTTTGTGTTTTTGTTTTCTTGAGATAGAGTATCTGTATGTACCTCAGGCAGGCCTCTATTAATTGTCCTGCCTCAGTCTCCTTTGTGCTGGTATTACATGTGTGCCCCACCAAACCCATCTCTTAGTTATCTTTTTTTTTTAAAGCATGTATTAATTGTACAAAGTCTTTGGTTTTACTGTGGCATTTTTGTGTATATCTTATACTCTGATCATATTTACCTTCCTTCTCCCCTCTTCCTGGTATCATTGTTTCTTGCTTCACTGTCAGTTTGTTTATAGTTTCCTAATAGCCAGTGATGTTCAACTGAATGAAAAACAAAACAACAAGTCAAAATTTATGGGATATAGCTAAGCATACTTAGAAGGAAATTTAAAAGCTTATTTTGAATGGTAAATGTAAAAGCTTTAATTCCCAACTTAAGATATTAGAAAAAGGACAACTAGATGAACCTAAAACAAAAAAAGACAGAATAAATATTAAGAAACTAATGAAATTGAACACAACAATACAGTGGAGGAAATCAGTGAAACTGAAAGTTATTTTTCTCTAGCAGACTGATAGGAAAAAGAAGCCAAATTGCTGTTGTAAAGAATGAAACAATAGTTAATAATTAAAAGGAAAAATAGATTTGTGAACAAATCTGGACAATTAATTAGTTAAATAATTGGATTGAGTTCTCCAAATATTAACATTATCAGATCTTACCTACTATGAAAGAAATAGTTTGTTTTTTTTAAAGGTCTTTAAGTGAGCTCTGAGCCTAAATGGTTTTATTGGATACTTCTACTAAGCATTAAGTAAGAGAACACATACTCTACATAGAAGAAGGAGGGAACACTTACCAGTTTTTCTTGAATATCTTCTATCAAAGCCGGACTAAAATGGAAAGAAAAGTAGAGAGAGATCAATGTGTTATGCAGGTAGACAAAGAATTTTTTACATATTAGCATATATGATCCAGTAATATATACAGTGATTAAATATGCCAACCAAGTGGTTGTTCCAAGGATGCAAGGCTGATTAGAATTTGGAATCATTCAGTATTAATATACCACATAAATACACTATAAAAACATCTTCACATAAATTATTGAACTGTTTATTGAATAGTCATCAAATTCTGGTAACTGGGAATAAAGAGGAATTTCTTCATCTTTATAAAAAACCTGTACAGGAAAACTGCAGTTAACATTAATAGTGAAATACTGAATATTTTCCCTAAACTGGAAACGAAGCAAGGATAACTGCTTGCATTGTTTTTATATGTGATAAGAAAAGGTACTATGTCTTACAGCACAAAAAGGAAATACAAGACAGATTAAAGAGAAGAATTTTGTTTGGCAATGACATGTTTATGTAGAAATTTGGAGAGTATATACAAAGAAAAACTTAGATTTCAGAATATTATAAGATGCAAGATCATAGTTGTATATTAGCAATGAATGCATGGACATGAAAATTAAGTATGCAGTTTTTTAAAAGAAAACTCAAAAATATTAAAGCATGTATAGAATACAGAGAAGTCATATTGTGAAAATTAATTCCAGAAGTCAAAAGAAGATTGAAATAGACGCACTGTAGTCATGAATTTGGTAACTGAACTGGACTAAAGATGCTAATGGTCAATTTTTCATGTAGTTAGTATGATTCTTATCAGATTCCATTAAGTGTTTTGTTGTTTTAGTAAGATTACTGTAAAATTTATTTGAAATGTGAGATATAAACTAGAATAGCTAAGTCAGTTATAATAAAAAATAGGTGGACTTGATCTACATGATGTAATTTACATAACTTGCACAAAACTAATACTTTGTAAAGGAAGGACTTAATGGAGAATATAGAGCCCATAGAGAAACCACAAGTATGATTAATTGATCTTCAACAAAGATACAAAAGCAATTCAGTGGAGAAGGATAGACTTTTCAGAAATGTTGCTGGATTAGTTAAATGCCTATAGGCAAAAGAAAAAAGTAATTTTAAACCTCATGTATTATACTCAGACATACTCATTTATAACTGTTTGCTCAGATTTTGAGCATAATGAACTTTGTTCCAAGTTCAAACTTAGGTTAGCCAACCTCACATCAAAAAATTTGAAGGAAAAAAAATGAAAATGTATGTATACTTGTTTTTATTCTTTAAACAACACAGAATAAAAATTATTTACATAACATGTTGTATTATAGGTGGTAGAGTAATGTATGTGGGAGGGTTGTATAGTTTATATAGAGATATTATTCCATTTTAGATAAGGTACTTGAGTATCTTCAGTTATTATATTTCAGAGGAGTTTGGGTTCTGGAAACAATCCTTCATGAATACCAATGAGTGACTGTTAATGTTCAAAATATACATACATTTGAAGATTAACTTTTGGATTAGATGTAACTTAGAAGGAACTGTAGTGTTCTGATATTACTCTAATGGGTGACTCAAAAAGAAAAAAATTGGTATGTTTTCATGAAAGATCAAAACAAAGTTGTCATCTTCAAGAAATACTTGTAAATCACACTGCTAATTAGGGACTGGAATAAACAGAAAATTGACCATTTTCAACATTTTTTTTTTCCCGAAACAGCTAATCAGAAAATCGGTTAATAAAATACACATAATTCTTACAGTTATTTAGATTTATCTCTTAAATAAGTGTTACTCCCAGTATGTTCTGTAAAGGATAACCACTTTGAATTTGGCAAATGTTCTTATTTATTTGGAAAACATCTGCAGATAACTAAATTTTAATCTGGGTTTTAATGATTGTCATTTAGTTTAACTAGTAATCTCATTTTAAAATTTCTAAATATATCAAGTTTTTTGTCACTGTTCAAGTTACTTTCAGAGTGATGTAAATATAAAGGTCTTTGATTTGTGAAAGTATTGATTAGTTTTCTTCATTTTTAGACATGTTTCCTTTGTGGACTGTCCTGGCCATGATATTTTGATGGCTACTATGCTGAATGGTGCAGCAGTTATGGACGCTGCTCTTCTTTTGATAGGTAAAAGCATTAGTTCTTTTTGACAAATCAATGTATATCCCAGTCTTAAGATGTAATTTTTAAAAGTGAACCTAGACCTTTAAGGACCCTAAGATTACATAAATTAGAAATTTTCTAAGAATTTACCACAACAATATTCATGCCAGTCAGGGTTATAAAATACTAGGCAAGGTGAACTCTCATCAGAATTTGTATGGTAGCATGCAAGAAATAAAAGTTTTCTAAGGTTTATGGCATATATTTCTTCACTTGTTCATATGAGGTTATATACATTGTTTTATTTAGAAATTTTTGTAAAAAAAGGTATATTTCTTCAGTGGCTGTGCATTCTATCACAGTATTGACATATGCCTTTATTTATTATATCCATTCTTCATCTGTGAATGTAAAATCAGGATCTGTTTGAATCTTGGGAAGAATGCATGTCCCTGTGTAAACTGTCAATGATAAATTAGAAGTGCATAGAAAACACTAAAGGATACTGTACTCACAGTTGTGGTTTATGACAGGGAATGAATTCAGATTAAGATCAATTCACAGAAAAAATAAATGCTTAGGTAGTATCTGGGAGTGTTACACATGTGAGGCTTGTGTAGCTTTCTTTTTGTGGAGGCAGAGATTACCTTTTTAGCATTGTGTGACAGTACATATGAATAATTGCCAAGAAGAATAGATGATCTGAATAGAATTTTTAGTGAAATTCCCATTTGATAGGCCCATTGGTTGACTATCTAATTGATAACTTCATAATTGCAAGTCTTCACAGTAAATCCCATGGTTGGTCTTTCTGGCATGACCAGCCTGTACCTGATTTGACAGTGAACCCCAGGCCTAAGTAGTATACCTCTATCAAGGACGGACATGGTTATCTTTAAGAAGCATAAGGCAAAGGCCAACCCTTTTTGGGGTGGAGAAAGGCAAATGATTAATTTGCCAAGAGTATACTTTTTTAGAAACATGGCACATAAGTACAGTACCAGGCATATTGAACATTAGAAATTGGAGAAGATAATCTTTGGAGCGTAAAGCCAAACATGGTCATCGATGATCCATTCTTCATTAAGTAGTGAGTTATTTAGTTTCCAGATGTTTGCATGTTTTTTGTCTTTACTTTTGTTGTTGAGTTCTACTTTTACTGCATTGTTTTATGTATGGTATAATTTCTATTTTCTTATATTTGCTGAGGCTTGCTTTGTGCCCTAGGATATGATCTATTTTGGAGAAGGTTCAATGTGCTGCTGAGAAGAATGTATATTGTGTAGAAGTTGGATGAAATGTTCTGTAGACAAGTAGGCCCATTTGATCTATTGTACATTTTAGATCCTGGATTTCTTTATTGATCTTTTTGTTTGGATGACCTATCTACTAATGATAATGGGGTGTTAAAGTCTCCCACAACCACTGTGTTGGAGTTAATATGCTTTTAGGTCCTTCAGGGTATGTTTGATGAAATTGGGTGCGTTGATACTGGGTGCATATAGGTTGATAATTATTATTTCCTTTTGGTCTGTTTCCTCTTTTATTAGTATGGAATGTCCTTCTTTATGTCAATTTGATCAATGTAGGTTTGAAGTCTACTTTGTCAGAGATAAGTATTGCTACTCCTGCCTTTTTTCAGGGGCTATGGGCTTGGTAAGTCTTCTTCCAGCCTTTCATCTTAAGCCTGTGCTTACATCTGTTGGTGAGATGGGTCTCCTGTAAGCAACAAATTGTTGGATCTTCCTTTTTAATCCATTTCGTCAAGTGGTGCCTTTTGATGGGGGAATTAAGTCCATTAACATTAAGTGTTAGTACTGCTAGGTATGTGGTGATTCCTGTCATTTAGTTTTCTTTGTTGTTCAAAGGTTTGATTGTGTGTACCTAAGTTGACCTTACTCTCTATACTTTGTTGCTGTTTCTTTTCCTGTAGTTTGGTGCTGCCTGTCCTTTCATGGTTATGTTGCGTTTCACTTTCTGTGTGCAGAATACCTTGAAGAATCTTTTGTAGTGGTCGCTTTGTGGTCACATACTGTTTTAGTGTCTGCTTATCATGGAAGACTTTTAGTGCTCCATCTATTTTGAATGATAGTAAAACATAGTACTTTTAAATGTACTTTTGCTGAAAGTCACAGATTTTCTGCAGTTTCAGTTTTATAGTAAATGAGTTTTGGTACAGCTCTTCAAGTCTTTTTCAAGGTTGTATGTACAATAAACACGCCAGAAAGAGTTGCAATTAACTCAAGACTTACCTTTTTCTACAGAGTCTAGTTTTAAGTTCTCTTGGGCTTTGGCTTTCTCTTATATCAATTTCTCCCTTAGCTGCCTTCATAATGTGAGCTGCTTTTTTTGAGGCAATCAAAAGCCAGAGTCTTGTAACCTAATTTAAAAAAAGGAAATCCCATCGTTTGTATTAATATTGTTTTGGTTTGAAGCCCTCAAGGGCTCACTTAAAATGAGAAATTTCCAAGAAGATGGTAATAATGGAGAACCTCCTTGGTAATTAACTGTGGAAAATAATCACTTAATAAATCACTTAAGTTACTTTATTAAGTAACTTATGGACCAAGAACAGTTGGATGTTCCTGGCTAGAATGAGCCAGAATAATCCCCAAATCTAAATACTGACAGAATATGTTAAGCCTGAGCAAAGCTGTGAGAATACTCTAAGAAACCAAAGTTAATGAGCCCAAGACTGCATTTAGGATTAGTGATGGAGGTTAAAAGACATAAGAGGGATCAAAGAAAACCAAAGGATCAAAGAAAATCAGGCAATGTTTATAAAAAGGAGCACACAAAAACACGTAAGTGTGCTGTCTATGAATTAGCCTTTGATGGTACAGCTAAAGTTCTCATTAGGTGCCAACTCATTTTTATTAACTGCTGCTGTTTTTTTTTTAATTTTTGTTTTTTTATCAATTTAGCTGGTAATGAATCTTGTCCTCAGCCTCAGACTTCTGAACACCTGGCTGCCATAGAAATTATGAAGCTAAAACACATTTTGATTCTGCAGAATAAAATTGATTTGGTAAAAGAAAGTCAGGCAAAAGAACAGTATGAGCAAATCCTTGCATTTGTACAAGGTAAGAAGCCATAATATTTAAGAAATTTTTGGGGCTCAAGGTGTGGCTGAAACAGGAGATCATCTGTTTAGCAACTGTGAAGCCCTTAGTTTAAACAACAGTACTGCCAGAAAAGTGAGAAACATTCAATAGATATTTTTTCCAGATATCTTAAGTAATATGTCATTAAAATGAATTTATGATGGTTTAGTTCTATTTCTCTATATACTGTTTAACATGTTTGTTTTGTATGGCAACTTTGAAATGTTTCTGGATTTGATATACTTTGTAGCTTTCAGCTATAAATGATGTTATATTTTAGAATGATTACCACCACAGATTGTATAGTAAATTGAAACATGTATGTTTGCTTTCTTTTGATTCGAACATTATTTCTTTTCATGAGTATTTCCAGAAGAGGAACTTATAATGGTTTTTTTCATGTTTATGAATAATAATTATTTCATTTGGAAGAAGATGTGATGCATGATATTTCTGACATTTGATTTCTTATTTTACTTGTTAGAAATGCTGTCTTTGAGTTCAGCCTATTAGAGGGTAAATAAAAGAAGTTAGGTTTCTAATACCTTACAATGTGTAGTCAATTCCATTTGTCAATAATTTTGCCTGTTTTTTTTTGGGGGTGGGACTGGGGTTTGAACTAAGGGCTTTATGCTTTCAAAGCAGATGCTTTGCTGCTTGAGCCACACCTTTAGTCCATTTTGCTCTGGTTATTTTGGAGATGGGGAGGGGGTCTCACAAACTTTTTGCCTCAGCGGTCCTCAAACTGAATTCTTCCCAGTGTCAGCCTCCCAAGGAACGAGTATTACAGATATGAGCCACTGGCATCTGACCACCAGCAGTCTTTAATAAACCAATTAAAAAAATTTATTTTTTATTTTTAAAAATAAAAATTTATTTTTAAAAAAAAATCAGTTTTTTTGATATTTGCTATTTTTTGTTATTTGACATTTTTTGATATTTTAATAAATGAAATGATTTGGAAATTTTTTAAATTAGTGTTGACTAACCTCTGTAACCAACAACCCTCAAATGTCAATTGTTAATTTCTTTTTTTTTAAATAAATTTTTTGTTAGGATATATTCATCTTGGGGGGATTCATAGTGACAATTCGAATTAGACTTATGTTGTACATTATTACATTGCATCCATTGTCTCTCCCCCTCAGGCTCCTTCCCACCCCACTAAAAGCAATTGCAAGAGGTTTTTTAGTTCTGTTTCATAACGGTATATGAAGTCCATTAACCATATACCATCACCTCAATTTCTTTCATTCACCCCCTGCTCTTAGTAGTACCTTTCCCATTTACAGTTTACCTATTTTACAAATCTGTTTTTCATTATTAATATTTAAGTTGATGTTCAAAGAGGTTTCTCAGTGTATGACTATTGTGAGTATACTTTGGTCCATTACTCTTCCTTACCCCTTTACCTCTCACCCCCCCATCTTTCAAAAACTTTAAGTACACATCCTTATATACCCTACCTCCACATTTTATCTTATGTGATGTTACAGAGAATTTTTTAATTAGCAAAGTTTCTCTGCTGATAGTGGCTACATGTATATTATTTTATTCACTTTTATTGGCTTTTTATACATACTGAAAACAACTTTTCTCTTAAATAGAATTCATTTTTAGATGGAAAAAGAGTATTGTGAATTTTTTTAAACAGAATAATTCTGTTAACATGTGGGAATGTTTAGGTAGCTGTTGTATAAAGTTTAACAGCTGTTTTTTATAGCAGATATGAAAAATAATTTGTTAAACTGACATATTGATCCATTTTAACTTTTATCATATAGGTACAGTAGCTGAGGGAGCTCCTATTATTCCAATTTCTGCTCAGCTGAAATATAATATTGAAGTTGTCTGTGAGTATATAGTAAAGAAAATTCCAGTACCTCCTAGAGACTTCACCTCAGAACCCCGGCTTATTGGTAAGGACTTAACATCTTGCCCTTTAGCTGTTGACTTCAACTTTCAATGTTGTTGATTCTTTCTAAAGTTGTTTATTGCATATGCTTGGTTTTTACTGGTATATTGTTACAAAGGAGACCACTCTGAGGAAGAAACCTTGTATTCTCAGGATGCATAGAGTTCATTACTTTTCTGCAGCGGCTGATTCATTTATATCAAATGCTGCTCGACTTCCTCCAGAGAACTGTCATCTTTCAATAGATTTCACATTTTCATTTTATCGCTTTAGTTAAGGACATTAACTGTTTCTTGCTTTTTTAGGCATGGTTTGCATTTAGGGAGGCATACTTTCACAAGTTCAGGACAACGAAATACTCAGCAATCACATAATGATTTAAACACAGCTGACAATAATGGAGTGATATAGCTTCTCATCAACTGAACTGTAGAATGTGGGGGGAATTTAAAGTTAATTTTTTTTGCTTATTATTTTGACTACACTTTTAATAAATTTATAAAATAAGGCATGCTTACTATATTTTGTTCAGGAAATGATCTTTCTCTTTTACCCAGTTATTAGGTCTTTTGATGTTAATAAGCCTGGCTGTGAGGTTGATGACCTTAAAGGGGGTGTTGCTGGAGGTAGTATTTTAAAAGGAGTATTGAAGGTAAACTGTATTCTAAACTCTTTTTCTTCTTAACCTTCCAAAAAGTTGTGATACAATGAAATCTAAAAAGTCACTTTCTTAAGGAAAGTACCTTGCTTTCTGTTGTCTTTTAAATGGAATATGTCTTTTGTTTGGTAGGTTTCTTATAGGTAAATATTTAAATTTGGGAGTTGTAACTTAAAAATCTGTTCTTATTTTTACTCTTGCCCAATAGTGTTTGAGACTGCAAATAAAAGTGCTTTTTTCAGTTTAGTACTCTACCTCGTTAAGACTGTTTAGATTTAAATAGTCATTGGGATCCCACAAATGTGAGGTGTTTTTTTTATGTTGCAGGTTGGACAGGAGGTAGAAGTCAGACCTGGCATTGTTTCCAAAGATAGTGAAGGAAAACTGATGTGTAAACCAATTTTCTCCAAAATTGTATCACTTTTTGCAGAACACAATGATCTTCAGTATGCTGCTCCAGGGGGTCTTATTGGTAAAAATTTTACTCTTATCCATAAACTTTTATTACTGGTTTTATGTTATCTTTTCTGGCAACTGAGTTATTTATAATTCGATATTTTAATTCAATATGAAAAAGTGGAGTAGGCGTATATACATGTTCTTGAGTTGTTGATTTTACATTATATGATGATTATGTTCCTAAGAAAATGCATTCATAAAAAAAGAATGCATTTTGGTTTTATGTATAACTTTTAAGCAATAATCTAGTATGTGATTTAGCATTTAAAATATGTCACTGTAATCTGTAGTTTTTAGTTGATCAGTTTGTTGTACACATTGTAATATGATGTACATTTTTGCAGTTTCTCAAAAATAGCTAAATGAGATATATTTATATTGAAGCTGACAGTACAAATAATTTCTGTTGGTATTGCTGAAGTAATTTGTGGAGTTTTTAGTCTTTTTCTATTCAGTGCATGACACTGTACGGGAATGGCAAGATTTTGTGAGTTTTTATTGATTTTTACCTTTGAATTAAAGAAGAAAATGTTGGATTAAAACAAGTTTGTTTATGGTGTTGGGTGTTGTATTTATATATTTCTTTGATTACCTTAAAAATATCATCTCATGGAGGCATTCTGGGTTCTGTGTTTTCTTGTGAGAAATTTGTTAATCTTATTAAAATCTACCTTGTCCGTGAGACAACAATTTGATTATGATATATTTCTGTAGATTTCTTTGTGTCTATCCTACTTAGAGTTTGCTGAGCTTTTTGAATGTGTAGCTTGTGTTGTTTTCTATCCCCCTACCCCACCCACAAATCACCATCCCTTCTTTTTCTTTTTTAAATCAAATCAGGGCTGGATTTGGTGACTCCCATCTGAAATCCCAGCTTGTGGAGAGGCAGAGATTGGGAAGATTGTAGTTCAAAGCCAGCTTAGGCTAAAAGTCAGCAAGACCCCATATCAGTCCACAAAGCAGTGAAGTGGGGTCTGTCTGTGGTTCTAACTACATAGGGGACTGAAAGTTGGATCACCATGGCCTAGGCCAGCCCTGTACAAATGTGGTAGACTCTACATGAAAAATAGCTAAAGCAAAAAGGGCTCCATTGGTAGAATGCTTGCAAGTTTGAGGTCTGAATTTAACTCCCAGTTCTACTTCCCCCAACGATAAATAAATAATTTTGGGACTGTGTTTGGGGCCATTTTCTCTAAGACTTATTTTACTTGTATTGATGTATTTGGTAGTGTCCTGTAGATCTCTGAAGCTCTGATCATTCTCTTTTTCTTTTGTTACTCATACTACATAATCTCACTGTTTTCTTCAGATTTGCTGATTATTCTTCCTCCTGCTGTTGAATAACTCTGGCACATTTTTTATCTGAGATATTACATACTTCAACTCTGGAATGCCTGGTTTTTCTTGTACTTTCTGTTTCTTAATGTTCACTGTTTGGTGAGACATCATTGTCATACTTTGCTTTAGTTCAAATGTGAGGTTTTTTTTTGAGTCCTTTGAGTACATTTAAAATATATTGAGTTGGTCTTTGGTAATTCTAGATCTAGTTTTTCAGGGATGGTTATTTTTAAAATTGCTTTGATTTGATAACATGGACTATATTTCTCCCTTGCATGTTTCATTATTTTCTGTTGACAACATTTTAAGTAATGTAGCATAATGACTAATTACAGGTTCTCTCTACTCCTGAGGAGTTACTGTGTCCCTCTGGTAGTTGGTTAGTGACATTTTTGAACTGACATCTGTATTGTTTTCATGTTGGTCACTGTATATTCTTGGTTGGGTTAATCTTCAAGCTAGGATTAAGAGAGTTTTCTTAATATCTAGAGCTAATGAGTCTCATTCCTGGCTGAATGTCGTGGTGTGTTTTCAGTACCCATCCAGGCAGTTCACGTTTGTCTTAGCGTTTATTTTTAGCTTGTCATAATGTTAACGTTAGGAGAATTTCAGGCCTTCTCTCCTTGCACACTCACATAGTCTTCTACATTTGCACGAGTATGTCAGTTCCCATTGACATCTTATTTGAAAGTTAATTCCTTTTTGATTATTGTGTTGTCTCAACACTCATTCTCTAGTTTTATTCTTACTACTTTCAGTTATTTGCATGAATTCACCTTCAAAAAAGATCTTTCAGACATACTTGAAAAAGCATATAGTTAGCCTTGAAAGTGGGAACCTGGGAATGAAGCTTTAAATGATTTCTAGAAATAACTTCCTTCAGTTGCTCTCAAGTCTGCTGGTTTTCATCACAAAAAAATGTATGTTCAGTTTTTAGTGATGACATTGATCTCACGGACAGTTCTCGGACTAGTTCAAGTGAAAACTGTCATAGACCTCATTGTTGATACTAAGATTAAGACATTTTCCTAAAATGAGCACTTTTCTCACATCACTTTAAGCCTTTGGTTAATTTTCAGACTTTTGAGAAGGTAGAACTTGCTTGGGCGGTAGCTCAGGCTGTCCTGATTTGACTAAAACGTTTATCTTTTCATGCATTTTAATGTATAAAATGTAGGAATATGTATGTCTTATATTTCATATCAGGAGTTGGGACAAAAATTGACCCAACATTATGCCGAGCTGACAGAATGGTTGGACAAGTTCTGGTACAGTTGGAGCGTTACCTGAAATATTTACCGAATTGGAAATTTCCTTCTTCCTACTTAGACGGCTCCTAGGTGTACGTACAGAAGGAGACAAAAAAGCTGCAAAGGTAAGAACTTCCTATTTCAAAACCACAAACAGTATTGTTCCATGATGTAACCAGTTTTGTATTTCATTCTTTTTTTATAGTTAAAGTGGAAAATTCAATTAAAGGAAATTGAATAAAAAAATTTCTATAAGGCAACCAGCCATAATTAAATATAAATGTTTTAAAAAGAAGTATGAATGGCATGTGTATATTTTTTCCTAAGATGTAGTGTGAGAGATGGGAAATTATCAAACCCCTTTACATTTCTGTATGTTAATGTAGTTATGGTTATCAGATTTTTTAAACTGTACAAATGAAGTGGGTTATCTTGGTTTTGACTAAAAGTTCTCTAAGATACTGTAATCTTGAGGATCAGTAAATATCAGTAATAAATTCTGTAGTGTCATTCGTTCTCTGGTGTGACTCTGTTTTTGTGCCAGTACCATGCTGTTTTTATTGTTATTGCTTTGTAATATAGTTTGAAGTCAGGTATTGCCTTGGCTATTCGTGGCTTCCTGTGTTTCCATATAAATTTCACAGTAGATTTTTTGATCTCTTTAATGAATGTCATTGGAATTTTGATGGGAATTGCATTAAACATGTAGATTACTTTGGGAGTGTCAACATTTTGACTATGTTGTTTCTACCAATCCATGAGCATGGGAGATCTCTCCACTTTCTATAGTCTTCCTCCATCTCTTTCTTCAGAAGTGTATAGTTTTCCTTGTAGAGGTCTTTCACATCTTTTGTTAGGTTTACACCTAGGTATTTGATTTTTTTTGAGGCTAATGTAAATGGAATTGGTTTCATACATTCTTTTTCAGTTTGCTCATTGTTAGTGTATAGAAATGCTAATGATTTTTCTGTGTTCATTTTATATCCTGCTACCTTGCTATAGATGATGTCTAGAAGCTTCTGAGTAGTATTCCTTCTATTTGTATTCCTTTTATTCCTTCTTTTTGCCTAATTGCTCTGGCTAGGAATTCCAGTATTATGTTGAATAGGAGTGGAGATAGTGGGCATCCTTGTCTGGTTCCTGATTTTAGAGAGAATGGTTTCAGTTTTTCTCCGTTAAGTATAATGCTGGCTGTAGGTTTGTCATATGGCTTTTATAATGTTGAGGTATTTCCTTCTGTTCCTAGTTTTCTTAGAGCTTTTATCATGAAATGGTGTTGGATCTTATCAAAGGCTTTTTCTGCATCTATTGAGATGATCAAGTGGTTTTTGTCTTTGCTTCTGTTAATGTGGTTTGTTACATTTATTAAATTTCGTGTGTTGAACCACCCCTGCATCCCTGGGATGAAGCCTACTTGGTAGTGGTAAATAATCTTTTTGATGTGTTGTTGAATTCGGTTTGCCATTATTTTGTTGAGGATTTTGGCGTCAGTGTTCATTAAGGAGATTGGCCTATAGTTCTCCTTTCTGGAGGTGTCTTTGCCTGGTTTTGGGATAAGTGTAATACTGGCTTCATAAAATGTGTTTGGCAGTTTTCCTTCCCTTTCTATTTCGTGGAACAGTTTAAGGAGGGTTGGTATCAGTTCTTCTTTAACGGTCTGATAGAATTCAGCAGAGAATCCATCAGGTCTTGGACTTTTCTTTTTGGGGAGACTCTTGATTGCTGCTTCAATTTCATTTTTTGTTATATGTCTGTTCAGGTGTTTAATTTCCTCTTGGTTCAGTTTTGGATGATCGTATGTATCTAGAAATCTGTCCATTTCTTTAAAATTTTTTGAATATAGCTTCTCAAAGTAGTCTCTGATGATTTCCTGGACTTCCATGGTGTTTCTTGTTATCTCCCCTTTTGCATTCCTGATTCTACTAATTTGGATTTTTTCTAACCTCATTTTAGTCAGGTTTCCCAGGGGTCTATCAATCTTGTTTATTTTTTCAAAGAACCAACTTTTGTTTCATTCATTCTTTGTATGGTTTTTTTTGGTTTCTATTTCATTAATTTCAGCTCTTATTTTTATTATTTCTCTTCTTCTATTTGTTTTGGGATTTGCTTGTTCTTGTTTTTCTAGGAGTTTGAGATGTATCATGAGGTCATTGATTTGGGATCTTTCAGTCTTTTTAATATATGCACTCATGGCTATAAACTTTCCTCTCAGGACTGCCTTAGCTGTGTCCCATAGGTTCCAGTAGGTTGTGTTTTCATTTTCATTAACTTCCAGGAACTTTTAATTTCCTCTTTTATTTCATCGATGATCCGTTCTTCATTAAGTAATGAGTTATTTAGTTTCCAGCTGTTTGCATATTATTTGTCTTTACTTTTGTTGTTGAGTTCTACTTTTACTGCATTGTGATCAGATGGTATGCATGGTATAATTTCGGTTTTTTATATTTGCTGAGACTTGCTTTGTGCCGTAGGATATGATCTATTTTGGAGAAGGTTCAGTGGGCTGCTGAGAAGAATGTATATTGTGTAGAAGTTGAATGAAATGTTCTGTAGACATCAACTAGGTCCATTTGATCTATTGTTTATTTTAGATCTAGGATTTCTTTATTGATTTTTCGTTTGGATGACCTATCTATTGATGATAATGGGGTGTTAAAGTCTCCCACAACCACTGTGTTGGCGTTTATATATGCTTTTAGGTCTTTCAGGGTATGTTTGATGAAATTGGGTGTGTTGACATTGGGTGCATACAGGTTGATAATTACTATTTCCTTTTGGTCTATTTCCCCTTTTATTAGTATGGAATGTCCTTTATCTTGTTTGATCAATGTTGGTTTGAAGTCTTCTTTGTCAGAGTTAAGTATTGCTACTCCTGCCTGTTTTGGGGGGGCCATTGTCTTGGTAAATCTTCTTCCAGCCTTTCATCCTAAGCCTATGCTTATTTCTGTTGATGAGATGGGTCTCCTGTAAGCAACAAATTGTTGGGGCTTCCTTTTTAATCCAATTCGTCAATTGGTACCTTTTGATGGGTGAATTAAATCCATTAACAATAAACGTTAGTACTGATAGGTATGTGGTGATTCCTGTCATTTAGTTTTCTTAGTTGATTGAAGGTTTGATTGTGTGTAACTAAGTTGAGGTTACACTCTACTGTCTTGCTTTTTCTTTTCCTGTGGTTTGGTGCTGCCTGTCTTTTCATAGTTAAGTTGGGTTTCACTTTTATGTGCAGAATCCCTTGCAGAATCTTCTGTAGTGGTGGTTTTGTGGTCACATATTGTTTTAGTTTCTGCTTATCATGGAAGACTTTTAGTGCTCCATCTATTTTGAATGATAGTTTTGCTGGGTAGAGTATCCTGGGGTTGAAGTTATTTTCATTCAGTGCCGGGAAGATCTCACCTTATGCCCTTCTTGCTTTTAATGTTTCTGTTGAGAAGTCTGCTGTGATTTTCATGGGTTTACCTTTGTATGTTTGTTGTTTTTTCTTTCTTACAGCGTTCAATATTTTTTCCTTAGTTTCTGAACTTGTTGTTTTAATGATGATATGTCGTGGGGTGGTTCTATTTTGATCTGGTCTGTTTGGTGTCCTGGAGGCCTCTTGCATCTGTATGGGAATATCTTTCTCTAGATTTGGGAAATTTTCCGTTATTATTTCGTTGGATATATTACGCATTCCCTTCGCTTGCACCTCTTCTTCTTTGATGCCCATGATTCTCATGTTTGGTCTTTTGATGGAGTCGGTGAGTTCTTGCATTTTCTTTTCACAGGTCTTGAGTTGTTTAATTAATAGTTCTTCAGGTTTTCCTTTAATTACCATTTCATCTTCAAGTTCTGAGATTTGTCTTCTGTTTGTTCCATTCTGCTGGATTGGCCTTCCGTTTTGTTTTGCAGTTCTGTTTTGTTCTTTTTTCTGAGGTTTTCCATATCCTGGGTGGTTTCCTCTTTAATGTTGTCAGTTTTTGTCCTGAGTTCATTTATCTGTTTATTCATCGTGTTCTCTGTTTCACTTTGGTGTTTATACAGTGCTTCTGTGGTTTCCTTTATTTCTTGTTTTCTTTTTCAAATTCTCTATTTTTGTTGTCTTGGAATTTCCTGAGTGTCTCCTGTACATTTTGGTTGACCCTATCCAGTATCATCTCTATAAAATTCTCATTGAGTACCTGTAGTATGTTTTTTTTAAATTATTCTTGTGGGCTTCATTGTGTCCTTTGGCATAGTTTATCTTCATTTTTGTGGAGTCTGGTTCTGAGTATCTGCTTTCTTCATTCCCCTCTGGTTCCTGTACTGATTTTTTGCTGTGTGGAAACTGGTTTCCTTGTTTTTTCTGTCTTCCTGTCATTGTCTTTGGTGTTGTTACTGTCCCTGTACTGTGTGCAATTAAGTATTTTCTAGCTTTCAATAATATCAATGGTAATATTTAGAATCGAAGTGTGAGCTAGATGGAAAGCAAGAAGTTAAAGAAATGGGAAAAACAAATACACAGACTGGAAGGAGAAAACAGAACAAGGTTTAGACAAGAAGGTTTCAAAGGTATAAACAGGGAGCTTTAGTGTACTAATCGACAGTAAGCTGAATAGGCATTAGAGAGAGAGAGGATTGAAAATCAAAAATAAAAAAAATAAAGAATAAAAATAAAAAATAAATGAAAGAAAATCTACATAGGAAAATATATTAAAATAAAATGAAAAAATAGAAAACTTAAAAAAAACAAAAGACCAAAAAACCTCTAAGTTCAAATGCAGTTCAAATTCAGTCTTAATAATTTTGGTGTCCGTCTCAGTCTCCAGTCCTGGAGTTGGTGCCTCCGATGTTGTTCTGTAGTTGTCTCGTCAAAGGGGACGCATAAAGTAGAAGAAAAGTACACACACATGCACAAAAAAAACCCCACCAAGTGTCCCAAGTTCAAATGCAATACAGTTTCAGTAGTAAGTTTTTCAGCTTGCAGGTGTAATTCAGTTGTTCTCTAATCAAAGGTGGGGAGACAAAGAAAAAAGAACGGTATCTGAGGCTGTGGCTTGCCTGCCCACTGCTGTCAGTCTGCTGTAGCTGGCGGCGTTATTTATGCAGATCTCAGGGGTGAGCTTAGCACTCACCTGGCCCTGCAGGCTTTGTTTACTCAGAGTTCTCCTGTGCACGGGCCTCTGCTACAAGCTTTCCCCTTTAGAAGCACACTGGGAAAGGTGACACTGCTCTTGCTTTCTCAGGCCTGCATGTTTATTTACAGTTCACTGGGAAGTGGGTCTTCCCCCCTCTCCTGTGGAGTTTTCCTCCCTCCTCCACTCTCACAAGCTTTCCTGCTCCTGGTTGCTGGGTACACGCCCCCACTCCTGCCAGAGGCTCTCCGGCCTTCCCAGCTTGTTTATTTACAGTCCCAGGAAGGATTCCCTTCCCCCAATCTTCGGTGCTCAGTGTGCCCCACCCTCTTTCCCATGTGTCTTTATTGCTGTTATTGCTTATTACTCAGTTTCTCTTTTTTCCCCAGGTGGAGGTCAGTCTGTCCAGGGGGCTATGCTGCTCTGGCCCAGGCTTGTCTGTGGGAGTACCGCAGTACCGCGAAGCTCACCTGGTCTGCGTCTTCCCAAGCCGTCCTGGTGCCCCGCCCCCTTTTTTATTTTAATTAATTAATTTTTTTTTATTCTTATGTGCATACAATGCTTGGGTCATTTCTTCCCCTTGCTCACACCCCCTCCCTTACCACCCACTCTGCCCCCTCCCTCTCCCTGCCACTTCCTCGATTCCTGGCAGAAACTAATTTGCCCTTATATCTAACTTTGTTGAAGAGAGAGTGTAAGCAATAATTGGAAAGAACATGGATTTTTTGCTAGTTCAGATAAGGATAGCTGTACAGGGAGTTGACTCACGTTAATTTCCTGTGCATGTGTGTTACCTTCTAGGTAAATTCTTTTTGATCTAACCTTTTCTCTAGTTCCTGGTCCCCTTCTGTTGGCCTCAGTTGCTTTTAAGACATCTGCTTTAGTTTCTCTGCATTGAGGGCAACAAATGCTAACTAATTTTTTAGGTGTCAGTAAGCTCTATTCTTAATAGCAGTGTTTGACAAATTTTGTTTACTTTTTAATTCAACCATTTTTTTTTTTTGATACAGTTTTCCTTATTTTACTAGGTACAAAAGTTGTCGAAGAATGAAGTACTTATGGTGAACATTGGATCCTTGTCTACAGGAGGCAGGGTTAGTGCAGTCAAGGCTGATTTGGGTAAAATAGTTCTCACTAACCCTGTGTGCACTGAAGTAGGAGAAAAAATTGCCCTAAGCAGACGAGTTGAGAAACACTGGCGGTAAGTTTATCAGTTTTGCCAACTGTCTAAAAGAAAACTATTTTCATGTGTGACATAGTTTTTGATTGTCTAAACTCAACTTTTCCTTGAATTTAGTAGTCTTCCATTTTTAATGTCAGGTATATATTTAGTGAGTATTAAGTCTATGTACATTGCTGTTCAACCATTAACCCCATAACTCTTGAGAATTCAAAAATCTTTAAAAAATGAAAATCTGCTCATTAGATAATAACTTCATTCTCCTTACAGTCAACCATTTTCCTTTCTTGTTTCCTCCCTTCCTCCATTCATTCCTGTACGTTAATTTGAACTCAGGGCCTTGTGTTTGCTAGGCAGGCATGCTACCATTTCAGCTACTTTCCTACTCCCTTGCATTTTCTATGTATGAAGTTTATTACACTAATTATGTTTACTTCAAGAAGTAAAGTACAAAATATTTTTTTGCTACAAATGTTTCCATATAAGTACCTCTCCCAAGAATGTCTTTTATTCTTTAGATATATATGCAGGAGTGGAATTGTATTGTTTCATGATTCCAGTTTTAATTTTTTGAAGAACTACTTGCTGTTGTGTATCCATTTTGATTTGTCTCAATGTATTTTCTAATTTTTGTTTGATTTCTTATTTGAGTAATTGTCAAAGGTTTGTGGATTTTGTAGACTTTCTAGTTGCCCTTCTGTTGATTTCTGTTTTCTTCACATTATAATCAGAAGTATAAATGGAAATTGTATGATTTCAGTCATTTAAAATATATTACTTGATTTGTGATTCTACGAACGTTTCATAGTAGAGAATGTTTTGGTGGCACTGGGGTTTGAACTCAGGGCTTCATGCTTGCTTCAGAGGTGCTCTTTCAGTTGGGCCACTCCTCCATCCCTGGAGAATGTTTTGTAGGTACTTGTAAAAAATGTACAACTGCTGTTCATTAGAGTATTTTGATAGAATTTTTTAAATCTAGTTGGTGTCTGATGTTCAGATCTTTTGTTTCATTATGGATTTTGTTTTCTTACTGTTTTATTGATTACAAAAGTTAACATTTAGGTCTCTTGTTGTAGAGGAATTTATTACTGTTATTTTATGTCGCTGTTTCCATCACATACTTAAGAGCTGTATGTTCAGTGTATATTATGTTTGTAATGTTACATGTTCCTGGTAAATTGGCATTACACAAAATTCATTGTCTCGGAGAAATTTTTGTATTAAAGTCTATTTTGTCTGATAGTTGAATAGTTATTGTGCTCTCTTTGACTACTATTTTCAGTAAATACATTTTTCTATGCTTTTTTTTTTTTTTGTGGTACTGGAGTTTGAACTCAGGGCCTTGCATTTGCTAGATGGTGCTCTACAGCCACTCTGTACCCTTGTTTTGTGGTTTTTTTTTTTTTTTTGAGATAGGGTTTCCTGAACTATTTGCTTGAGGCTGGCTTCAAACTGCAATCTTCCTGATCTGTGCCTCTTAAATAACTAGAATTATAGGAGAGAGCCATCAGCACCTACTTCTATCCTTTCATTTTTGATCTCTGTGTTTACATCTAAATTGAGTATCATAAAGTGTATAATTGTTTTCTGTTTTAAGTTTGTTCAGATAATTGTTTTCATTGGGGAATTTAATGCATTGATAGTTAAATCAAGTACTTATATGAAGGCCCTTTCTGTTGCCATTTTGTCATTCTGTATGAGGTATATTATAACTGTTTTTCTCCTTATTTCTTCTTTTACTGTCTTGTTTACCTGATTTTGTTCGTAGATATACTTTGATGTCTTCATCTTCCCTTTTGTGTATATTTTATAAATAACATAGAATGTGATATAATACCTGTGTAACTAAAAGTAGGTATTAAATTTGACACTTTAAAATTTAAATAGTAAGTGTTATATGTAAGCACTTTAAAATTATAAAAACCTATTTTAGAGTGAAAACTTCAAGGGAATGCTGATGTGGCTTGGTGTATGGCGTTTGTGTATCATTTGTGAGGCCCAGAGTTTAAATCTCCAACATTGCAAAAAAAAAAAAGAAAAAGGAAGGTCAATGTCAAATAAAACTTCTTTCACAAAAACTACTCTTTCACTTTTCCCACCCATTATGTTACTGATATATTTTTTTAACATAGATTTATAATTATAATTTATAGTTTTGTTTACAAAAAAATTAAAAGTAGGATTTTAATGATCCTGAATATACTATCTTTTCTATTTCCTGTGCATTTACTTTTTCTTTTGTTTTTGTTTTTGTTTCTGTTTTTGTTTTGTCTTGAGATGCTAGGGTTTGAATCCAGGACCCCTCGTACATGCCCTGTAGGCAATCAAACTACTACTTAGCTACATTCTTAGCACTTGGTTTTTTTCTTTTTTTCTTTTTTAAGGAGATGGGGTGTTTATATGTTACCCAGGTTGCCTTTGAACTTGAGTTCCTCGTACCTCACCTCCTTCTGAAGGAGTCCTTTTTTAGCATTTCTCCAGGCAGGCCTACTGATATCGAAACTCCTGTCAGCTTTCATTTATCTGTGAAAATCTTAATTTCTCCTTCATTTTTGCAAGACAGTTTATCAAATAATGAACTCTGTTTCCTTTTCCCCCTGCACCCTTTTTCAGTACTTTAAATATTTCACTGTTCTGCCTTCTGGTTCCTCCTGAAAGAACCAGAAGAACCAAAAGGCAGCAGAGGATCCATTTTATATATGAATCATATTTCTTTTGCTGCTTTAAGAATTTTTCTCTAGTTCCATAATTTGGACAGTAATTATGCGTCTTAACATTGGTTTCTGAGTTTTTTGTGTTTTTAATTCTTTGAGCTTTTTTATATGTGTATATATATATATATGTATACATATATACATATATATATACATATATACATATATACATATATATGTATACATTCAAATAAGTACCTATTCCTTTTTCTGTCTTTTCCTCAGTAATTCCAATAATTCATGTTGTACAGTTTGATGTATTAAAAGTTCTTTAGGCATTATTCATTTGTCTTTGTGTTTTCCTTTCTTTGTTCCTTGATAATTTCAAATGACTTATCTTTAAGTTTGCTGGTTCCGTCTAGTCAGGCTTTCCATAAGGCCTTATAGTAAAAATTTCAACTCAGCCAGTATATTTTTATCTCCAGAATATCTTTTATGTATATATAACTATATATGCAGAATGTATATACATTAATTTGTATATGTAACTATATAATATACAATTATAACATAAAACATTGTATTTAATATAAAATTACAATGTGTGATTATATTGTAATTGTATACATTATATGTAATACATAATTCTGTGTGTATAGTGTGTTATATTATTTCTGTCTCGATATTATTTTGCTCATTATTGATAATACTGTTTTGTTTTATTTTTAATTTTTGGTTACATGATCTCCTTTAATCTTAGAGCACTCTTACGAGAATTCTTTTATATTCTCTGAGTCCTGTGTTTCTGGAAATTTATTTTTGGTTTGCTTTGGTTTCTGGAAATTTATTCTATTTATATAAGTGGATTTTATTTCTCTGTTTATTTTTATGCTTGCAGTTTTTGTTATAAGGAGAAGCTGCTTCTGCTAGTCATTACAAGTCTGGCTTTGTGCAAAGAATTTCAGTAATTAAGCATGCATGACATGACTTCATTTCTTTTATTATTCATATGTGCATACAAGGCTTGGTTCATTCATTTTCAGTATCCTTGTTTTTTTTTAAGTTTTATTGTTTTATTATTCATATGTGCATACAAGGCTTGGTTCATTTCTCCCCCCTGCCCCCACCCCCTCCCTTACCACCCACTCCGCCCCCTCCCTCTCCCCCCCCCAAAACCCAGCAGAAACTATTTTGCTCTTATTTCTAATTTTGTTGTAGACAGAGTATAAGCAATAATAGGAAGGAACAAGGGTTTTTGCTGGTTGAGATAAGGATAGCTATACAGGGCATTGACTCACATTGATTTCCTGTGCGTGGGTGTTACCTTCTAGGTTAATTCTTTTTGATCTAACCTTTTCTCTAGTACCTGGTCCCCTTTTCCTATTGGCCTCAGTTGCTTTAAGTTATCTGCTTTAGTTTCTCTGCGTTAAGGGCAACAAATGCTAGCTAGTTTTTTAGGTGTCTTACCTATCCTCACCCCTCCCTTGTGTGCTCTCGCTTTTATCATGTGCTCATAGTCCAGTCCCCTTGTTGTGTTTGCCCTTGATCTAATGTCCACATATGAGGCAGAACATACGATTTTTGGTTTTTTGAGCCAGGCTAACCTCACTCAGAATGATGTTCTCCAATTCCATCCATTTACAAGCAAATGATAACATTTTGTTGTTCTTCATGGCTGCATAAAATTCCATTGTGTATAGATACCACATTTTCTTGATCCATTCGTCAGTAGTTGGGCATCTTGGCTGTTTCCATAACTTTGCTATTGCGAATAGTGCTGCATGTATGATGTTCTTAAGCCAGAAGTCTTTGACTCTAGCCACAGGATCTCTGTAGCTCTCATGTTTGCAGTTGTGCCACTGCCTTTAGTAGCCTTCAGTGTGATATCTGAACTCTGCCATAGCTCTTGTCAGAGCACTAAGTCAAACAATGCAGAAATTAGTGCTTTGGGCATTACCCAGCCAATCCAAAATTTTGAAAATGAATTCACACTCTTGTATCTCAAGAGAGGTTGAGGATTGCTTGACTTCCATTGTATACCTCACACCTAGGAAGTGGTGGAGATCCCTCTCCAGGAAAGGTAAAGAAAATGCCACGATATTCCTACCATTTTGAGTGGGGTTTTTTTCCTTACTTGGGCACTTGGTAGGTTGCTATAGATTTTTGAAGTTCATAAATTTCCCACAAAGCTACTTTAGTTGGTTTACTGTTGGTTATTTGATATTTCTGAAGAGGGAACAAAGTCTGAGATACTTTTAACTTTTCCAATTTGCTGACTTCTCCTCCCTCATAAGCTTTAGAATTGTATCTTTTATCTGTTGTTAGTTTTGTTTTGTTTTGCTAAATGACCCACACAGCCTAGACTAGAGCAGATTTTGAAGGTCTCTCTCCCTTTAAGAATAACCTGAGACTGCCAGAGTGGTTCAAGTTGTAAGTGCCTTCTTACCAAGTGTGAAATTTTGAGTTCCAATCCCAAATGCCATTCAAAAAATAAAAAAGGTAATCTTTGTCCTAGGATTCCATTTCTATCACTCACTTCCCATGTGCCCTAAAGACTAATCTGGTTGTGGAAAGTAATGATCTTCTATTTCTTTACTTACTTTATTTTCCTTTGAAACTATTATATCTTCCGGGGTATTCTCAAAGTGAGGAAAGCACTTCACATTTTTCAAGCAGAAAGGAATGGATTAAAATTTTAAAATTAGGTTAGAGTATTTTGTGGATGGCATGATTCTTTAAATCTAGTTGGCATGTTCTTACTTATTCTGTGTAGGTACACATAATGTTTTAGAAGAATATGATTATATGAATTGCAGCAGCTTTTTTTTTTTTTTTTTTATATTTGTTTTGCAAAGGATTACAGGGCCTTAGGAATATTAGGCAAGAGCTCTATCTCTCCAGCTCATTTGCTTTTCTTATTTATGCTGGACAGAATGCGTGTATAAAGCTGTAGCAATCTAAGGAGGTAATAGGGGCTTTTATTTTAGGGGAGCATATTTGAATTTAAAATTGGGCAAATAAAACCAATTATGTCATGATTATTTGTCAGTGCTAATGAGATGGATTTAAAATTTATGACTTCTTCTATTTTCATTTTTCAGTTTAATTGGTTGGGGCCAGATAAGAAGAGGAGTCACCATCAAGCCAACAGTAGATGATGAATGAAGAATCACATTTAATAATACATCTGGATGAAGCCAGAATTTCTCTTAGGAACACTAGGAATATATTTTTAAAGCAAAACTAGAGAATTTTACAGCTCATTACATTAGTAGAAGCTGTCAGTCAGATCATTCTCATTTTTGTTAGGAAAATTTAATGTCTACTATTTAAATAGTATGGCCTCTAGTAAATACCAAGTTTGATGTGTTGATGGATTTAATCTTCATTTTAGCAGACATGATTATTGCTAAAAATTTTCATGATTTACCAAATAGCTTTGAAATGAAAATGGATGTTAAAACCAGCTTTTGCTGTATTGCACATATAACTGAACTTGCATGAAATAAAATTTTTCTTCTTGTTTTTTCATGCTTTGTTTTTGAACATTGCCAGACTTGCAGGACTACTGTACCAGTAGAACTTGAGGCTCCATTTTGCCTCATATTTTGTGGTGTTTTATCTTTAAGATGAAAAGCATTACTTGGTTTAAATAATACTGTATTTTGAGCATGAGAGCTCATTTACATGAACAAACTTTTTGGGAACTTTGCTTATTCTGTTCTTCGGAAGTTCAATATAATTCTATTACCCTTTTTCTGAGTGTCCTGCACTTGCATCTCATTGATGAATTCTAAAGTCCAACAGTCTTCCCTATTGCAGACATTTTTACACCGTAAGCTTCTAAATAAGTAAGGATGTTTTCAGGCCTTATTTTACATTTTATCTTAAAATGTAGTGCTATTATATAATTGATAGATTTTTTTTTAATACTAAGATTTTCTTGTATCAATTAAAGGTATTTTTGTCTCTTCTTACAGTTATTTGGATTATTAAGAGTTGAAACAATAGACATAGAAGGCAAAAAGCAATAGTTACAGAAGTTAAAGCTATAGAAGACTGATAAATAAGCAACATTACAATTATATTTATTTTTTTTAGTCTGCAAATATTGCTTGATTATGGATTCACAATTGACTTATTTGGTAATACGACATAGATTTAAAGTATTAGATGAATATTTTGAAATATTGATTACATTATGAAAATAATCTATTAACATTAACAGTGAAGGCTTTTGGGGGTCTTAGGGATCACATATTTCTTTAATGTTACCAAACAATTATGCATGTAATTTTAATAGGAGTTCATAAATATCCTATTAAGGATACATATAATTAATCGTTTCATAATGTATTCATACAGAAAAGAACACATTTTATAGTATAAATGCAGTTGTTCCTTTCTTTTTTACAAAAGAATTCCAGCAATCCTATCTGTTCCTGAAAGCACTACTACTGTTATTAAGTATATTGAGAATTTACCTTATTCTTGTCACTCTTGTCTTACTGATGTATAGTACTTTGTCCAAAAAACCCAATGAACTAGGGATCATTATTTTTGTTTTATCTTGATGAAACTTAGGCCCAAATTGTAGGAAATTTTTCCTACTCTTACAACTAGTAGGTAACAGAACTGGAGTTGAAGAGCTGCCTTACTTTCTCAGGACTTTGAGGGTTTTTTTTGTTGTTTATTTATTTGCATGTGCTATTGTTTGGTTCATTTCTTCACCCTTCCCCCCTCCCTCATTCTTTCCCCCCACACCCCACTCTTACCCTCCTCCCCTCCACAGTTTCAGGCAGGTCCCATTTGCCCTTATCACTGATTTTGTTGAAGAAAGGACATATGCATAATAAGAAAGACAAAGTGTTTTGGTAGTTGAGTTAAGGATAGTTGTACAGAAAGATTCCTACTTTTGCTTTCATGTACCCATATGTTACAACCCATGTTGCTTTAACTCTAACTGATCTTTGCCTTGGTTCCTGATCCCCTGTTCTTGATAACCTGTCCTTTAAGCTTTCTGTATTAGTTCTGATGGAGCAGGCACATCAAACGCGTTCATGTTTTGGGTTTCCTACCTATTCCTATATCTCCTGTATGTGCTCTTCCCTTGTCATGTGATGCAAGGCCAGCAGCATTGCTGCATTTGCCCTAGATCTAAAGTCCGCTTATGAGGGAGAACATATGATTTTTGGTTTTCTGGGCCTGGCTGACCTCATTCTGAATGATGTTCTCCAGTTCTGTCCATTTACCTCAAGTGATAAGATTTCATTTTTCTTCATGGCTGAATAAGATTCCTTTGTGTACAAGTACCACATTTTTTGATTCATTCACAAGCAGTGTGGCATTTTGGCTGTTTCCATAACTTGGCTATTGTGAATAGTGCTGCAATAAACATGGGTATGCAGATGCCTCTGGAGTAACCTGTGTTGCATTTCTTTGGGTATATCCCCAGGTGTGGGATAGTTGGATCATATGGCAGTTCTATGTTTAGATTTTTAGTAAGTCTCCAAATTTTTTTCCAGAGTGGTTGCACCAGCTTGCATTCCCACCAGCAGTGGAGTAGGGTTCATTTTATTCCACATCCTTGCCAGCACTTAGGGGTGGTGTTTTGGATGATGGCTATTCTAATAGGGGTGAGGTGGAATCTTAGTGTGGTTTTGATTTGCATTTTCAGGACTTCGAGTTCTTGAGAGCAATGTTTTATATGACCTAGACGGTTAAAGGTTTGTACTTTTTTCTTTGCATGACTTATTGATAGCTCCTCTATATAAAGGAAAATCATTCTTGTTTCTTTCCTTCCCCTCCCAACCCCCACCCGCTCAGACTGGCCTTAAACTCAGATTCTCCTGCCTTAGCCTCCCAAGTGCTGGGATAATAGATGTGTGCCATGATACCAACTGGAAATGGTGAAAATAGTGTTTTGAAAGATACCTTGTGTTTGTCTTTGGTGCCTCATTTCCGGTATAGCTAAAAGCAGTGTTTAAAGTTCAGCTGTATACCACTTAGAAATGACCCTAAGATAGTTTAATCAGCGTGACTGTGATTTCATGTAGTAGTGAAAAATAAGTAATAGATAAAAGGTACTGATATTTATTTGGCTTCCTAGCATGCAATGTATTTTACCAAAAGAGCCCTATGTATTTTGTTTGGGTTTTATATGTTACAAACATAAAAATCTAAAATGATACAGATTTCATATCTGGTAAGGGTAAGAGTGAAGTTGAAAAATAACACTTACTAGCCACACTCACACTGGAGTTGAAAACTAAAAAATGCATATTTTAATACATGCATTTTTTTATGCTGAATGTGCCTAAGATCTATTTAACAGTTGTATTCTTTTACAGACTAAACTTGCGGTTTGTACAGACATTAATTGAATATTCTTAAATTATCCAACAGAGAGGGATAGAAATATTTTCTTCCTATAAAAAATGTATGTTTGTGAATGTAATACAGTCTACATACAAAATTTGATGTACAGTTGTCTTTTGGTATCCCTACGGACTTGGTTTCAAAATGCGTACACATTTAACATACATGTTCCAGAATTTGTGAATGGTTAAATTTCATGTGATAATATGGCATATACTATTTACATATAGCCTGTTTGCATTTCCCTTTACTCTCTGTCTCCTTCACATACTGCCCCCTCCTTGTGTTTTTTGTTTTTTTGAGTCGGAGTCTCATGATACAGTCCAGTCTGGCCAGGAAGCTACAGTGCAGCCAGGCTAGCTTAGAAACTGAGATCCCCTTTTTTCCACTTTCAGAAAACTGGGATTATAGGCATTTTTTACCATGTCTGGTCTACCATGCATATTTTGTTTTGACATTCAGTACTGGAGTTGAACTCAGAGCCTTATACTTGGTACATTTGTGTTTTCCTTGTAGACCCACATGCCCACCCTTTTTGCTTTAGTATTTTTCTGATAGTGTTGTTTTTACCCCTAACCAGATCAAACTACCATAGTCCTACCTCATCTCCCACATAGCTGGGATCACAAGTGTTTGCCACTATACCTCCTTTGTTCTTTGAAATAGGCTCTTGTTGACTTTTTTTCCCAGGCTTCTGTCAAACCATACTCTTCACCATCTCTGCCAACAGGGTAGCTAGAATTATACCTAGAGGCTACTGACTAGATAATTAAAAAAACTTTTTTTCAGTCTTATGATTGGTTTAGTTTGGATACAGAAAATACAGAGAGGGCTAAGTACATTAATTGGAGGAAAAGGATCAGGAGTAATGTTTGTAAGTTAAATGATTATAGTGATTAAACTTAGGTTAAATTTCTGCTTTAAGAATTTTTTTCAGGTGATTGTTTTTTAAATGCAATTAATTATTTGCTGTTACCTAGCATTTTATTGCTGGAATAACAGCAGTATTACTGCCTTTTTGGAATTTGTTAGCATTTTTTGAGGGATGCTAAACTGTCTTAGTCTTGTTTGAATATGAGGGTTATGCTGACTTTGTAGACTAGGTAGAGGAGCTGTCAACAATTTGAATAAGTTTATTTGCAGTTAGCATTATTTCCTGCTTAACCTATTTAGAAGAATTCATGAGTGAAGGCATCTGAACCTTGTGGTTTTGAAGGGTTCTCCTCCTTTTTGTTCTTTAATGAGTGTGTGTATATTTGTGTGTATGCACACTCTACCTTGCCCTCTTGTGGAAATGGTTTGAGTTTAACGTCTTTCAAAAATGTGCCTATTTCTTGTAAGTTGTGAATTGTGGTAGTTGTTTATGATATTCTTTCATTCTACCTTTGATATCAGATTGTAGTGATGTAACCTGTTTCACTGTTGGTATTAGTAATTTGTATCTTTAATTTTTTTTTAGTGCTTCATTCCTTTTATTGCTTAATAATGTGTCTTGTTATAGTTATGCCACATTGTTTGATTCATTTATCATTTTGTGGACGTGTGGGTTGATTTTCCTTGTAAGTTACTGTCAGTAATTCTTGCTATATTTATATACATATCTGAGTGGATTGGTATTTTAATATCTTGAATAGGTATGCAGAAGTGGAAATCCTTAGACATACGGTTATTATATATAGTCATTTCAGGAACTGCCAGACTATGTAATTCTGCTGTATCATTTTATACTCCAGCAGTTTATGAAAATATTGATTTCTCTTTATCCTTTCTTACATTTTTTTGATCTGATGTTTGTGATACACCTTTGGTTCTAGTTTTCCTTTTCTTAATTAGCAATAATATCAAGTATTTTTAATATGCCTGTTGATCATGGGTATGTCTTTGGGAACTAGATTTCTTTCACATTGTTTTTAAATTGTTTTAATGAATTGTCATATTTCAAATGTATGATTTGCAAATATTTTCTTCCACTCTAAAGGATGATTTCACTTTATTTTTTATTTTTAAATTTTACTACTGAGTTATCTTACATTAATATGAGGAAATTTCATTGTGATAATTCTGTTCATGCATACAGTTTCACCTCTAATATATTTACATTCCTTTTTTTCCTCTACCCACCTTTTTCAAACAGTGTTGGATGGGGTTCACTTTGTTTTCTTCATATGTACATATGTTGCATACTTGAATAGCTTTTACCCTTGAATACTCTTTGCCCCTCTCCCTTCCTGGTGGCCTTTCTCCACAGTCTTCTAAATGCATTCATGTCCCATTATTATTATTATTATTAATACTAGCCTTCATAATTTTAGGTCGAGATTCCACAAATAAGGAGAAACATACTATATTTGTCCTTTTGAACTTGGCTTACCTTGCTCAGCATAATGATCTATTTCATCCAGTTTTCTCAAATGATATAATTCATCTTTTTTTTTTAAACTGAGTATTACTCTGTGTGTGTGTGTTTGTGTATTTATTGGTTTTTGTTCACCTTACCTGTTTTTCAAGTTTGACTTTTGTGAAGAGAGCTGTAATAAACATGGGTTGCAAGTGTCTTTTTTATATTACTTTAACTCTTTCAGATATATACTCATGAGTGGTATGGTGGGTCATAAGGTAAGTCTACTTTTAGTTTTTTGAGGACTTTCCATTCTGGTTTCCATAGGAGTCACACCATTTTATATATAAGTATATATATATTTCCACCAAACTGTGTCTGATGTTTTTCCCGCTTCCCCCATCCCCGTTAGCATTTGTTTTTCATTATCTTGATGAATGCCAATCTGATGGGTTAAGATACAGAATGTTTAGTGTAGTTTTGATTTATATTTCCTTTGTCGCTAAGGAATTTGATCATTGTTTTGTGTATTTATTAGCCATTTGTTCTGAGAACTGTCTATTCAGGTTGTTTGCTAGGTTATTGATTGAATTATTTATTCTTTTGCTATTTATAGTTCTTCAACTCTTTATGTGTTAGTAGATACTAATCCCTTATGTGTTGAGTAGCTGGTGAAAATTTTCTCCCATTCTGTGTTTCTGGATTCTGGTAACTTTGTTTATTAAAGATGTCATTTTCTTTATATTTTTTTGGTGGCGCTGGGGTTTGAACTTGGGGTCTCACACTTGTGAGACTGGGGCTCTTACTGCTTGAGCCAATTTGCTACGCCTGTGGTAAGTTTCTTTTGATGTGCAGAAACTTTGAAACTTTCCCATTTGTCATTTGTTGGTCTTATTTCCTGCACAACTGGAGTCCTGTTCAGAAAATAATTACCTAGACCTATATGTGTGTGTGTGTTTATG